GAGAATTGAGCTGGGAAAACTGTATGGTGTTATTGCATTCATTTACTGTTATTACTATTTTAACAAACCTTTACTGAGTATGTGCTTTGCCCTGAGGGCTCAAAAATTAGAAAGAAAAATTGATTCTAAGCCAAAAAGGAACCAACTCCTACATATTTTCCAGGGTTCTGGAGAGAAACATGAATTCACAGGCTCTGACTTGGCTGAGAATGGGAATCGAAGTCCTGCTGGGTCATTTACTAACAGAGAGACTGGGCAAGTTATTTCAGTTTTCTAAAATAGAGAACAACTTAAGCGTAGTGTAGCAGCTATTGGGAGGACTAAATGAGAGTGAGTGCAAAGACCTAGCACGTTGTCTAGCACAGAGCAGGTCCATGCAACATTGCTTCCCTTTTCTTTCGTCTTCTCCCGGGGTATTCTGTAGAAATTATGATGCAGTTACTCATACATCATTTGTAGAATCCAGACCCCAGTTTCAACCTCTCCAAATGTCTTCTTTTTGGTCCAAGTGAAGCTTCTGGACTCTCTCCAAGTAGAAGCCTTTGTGACCTACCATGATTACGTCTCCAAAATACACACCTTAAACACCTTTCTTTCTCTTCTCTATCACTTTTCTTCATCTATCTTTTTCTTCCCTTTTTTGTTTCTTATTCTCCTATAACTTTTCCTCCTGACACACCAAGCTCCTATTTCATGATTTCTCATTCTACTTTAAAGGCACACTGAAAAAATCCCTGGTATCCCAGCCCCCCGTGTGTGGTCATTTTTTCAACGTCAGCCTTCCTGTGTTGAAGGCTCCTACAGTGCAAATGCATCACAATCACGTGGATTCCGCCCTTGTACCACCATGCTCTCTCCTTGGATAAAATTTGGAAAATGCCTACTTTGCAGAAATCTCATAGCAGACAATGTGAGTAGCAGAGGCTCCCTTGTTTGGGGACCCATGAAGTCTCTGCCGAAATGCAGGGGTGCAGAACTTAGGGTGAGCAGGAGGACACCAACAAGGCAGGAAACTAGGTCCCCCTAAAGTGTGAATCAAAGACAGAAAGTTTTGCAGGGCACAAATGAAACAAAGGTGGGGCCATCAATGCCTCTGTCTCCAGAGCTCTACTGGAGATTCAGGAGTTTGTCAAGTCTCACACACTCCATCAAAAAGACAAATGACAATGTCTGCCATGGGCACTGGAAATTTCAATTTTAAATTTAATTTAAACTGCTATAGCTTAAGGTGCCATTTTTCTGATAATCAAATTGTACTCCACTTTGTCACCTACCTGATTAGATTTTGTGTGGTGCTCTTCTTCAGCTTTTACCCAGAAGACATATTCTAGGAAAAATCAAACCATTGGGATTATTTCTCACACTTGTCTCTTTTCATTATTGTGAGTCTTATAAAGTATAGAGAAGGAACATGCACATTTAATAAATAGAAAGTATTTATTGTACAGCATTATCAAGATTACTTGACAAAAGGCAGTAAAGAGCCAACAAAAAACACTTTTACAAGAAGCTGAACAACTTGTATCAGCACATACATTAAGGAGAGGAATTTCTGCCCTTTTGGTATATGGTATGCATGTGTACATATCCAATTTTGAACAATTATGATATAAGAGCTAATACTCTATTTACTCAGAAAAACTTGTAATCATAATAGTAGGCAGAGTAATAACGTGGTCAGTGTTGAATGGGTTCACCAAATGTCTCAGACCAAAACCTCAAGACAAACTTACATCTCTCATTATTAAATAGTAGGAATTGTTTTCTTAGCTATTCTAACTTTTTAAAAATCTGAATCCACACGTCCTGCGATATTAAGGACATATGTTAGTGGCATTAAGATAAAAAAACAAACAACAACAACAAATTTCACTAAAGATAGATAGTCTGCTTTCCTTTGCTAATACTCTGATTAGTAGAGAAATCCACTACTGCACACTGGAATCCGTCCATTTTTCTTATTTTGCTCCATTACAATGAATATGTGAAATGAAATCCACACTTCAGTCATGAGGTCTGCACTAAAGGTGTTTTAAAATAATTTTTTAGAGGAAAGGCAGTTCATTCTTGATATGGAACTGACTAAACTTGGCAGTAGAATATGGAGAAACGTAAGAGACACAAGCCTCCAACACTGGAGTTGATGTTAAATTCTGAACAAACGATGCAGTGGATATTTAAAGGTTCAAAGATAATTTTTGGCTGAGACACCAGCAGCTTCAACATGAAGAAGGCATTTTAAAATATGACTGAACATAAGGCATAAACAAAGATATTTAAGGGGGTAGGATTCGTTCCACAAATAATAGAAGAAATCAAACAGCAAGAAAAATCCTTTTATTGGGAGTAAAAAGGGAAGGTAAAAGTGGAATAACTGGGTTACACCTTTATGGATATGACACAACAGCAAATAAAACTGTGAAGAAAAGTTATGACAGTGAAAAAACAGGAGTAAAAGTACATGAAAATAAAAATTAAAGGAAGGCAAAGTGTGACTGATGAATAAATATTTGAGAAATTGTGGCCATACTTAGATGTAAGTGTATGTTAGAAGCACGTAGAGCTCAAGCAATTGTGGAAAATCTTAAAAAAAAAAAAACTAAGGTAACCTGGAATAATCTAATATTGTCTTTTTTAAAAAGATGATGCCTGCAAGTTTATAAAATGTACCTTTTATTGGCACCCTCAGTTTTTGTGAACTTTTCATATAACACATTTTCAAACCAGTTCTTTAATAACACATTTCCACATCATAAAATATCTGAAAAATAAGTTTCCTCTAAATAGAGGAATTATCATCTGAGTTGCATATGGAAAACATCAGACCACAGTACTGAAACCTTCAAAGAGCTTCTGTAGATATCGGCAATAATGATATATAAAACATTATTGGAACATAAAAAAATATCTGTACTATATCCAAACGACAATCTTCTAGTTGCAGTTAGATTGACGTTACATTGCACACATTTTGTAATCACATGTATACAAGGACACAGGAACACATTTGCTCACTAGTTGCAGGGACTTCAGTGACAATAGGAAATAATTATTTGTCATTTACACCAGTAATAGTTGCTCTGAGTACACCATTAGGTTCAAAGATGGATTTGTTTCTATGGTACACTGGAAAAACAATGGCACCACGTTGTACACATACTGCGTCCTAGAAGTTCAACTGGTAAGTGTTATTTGCTACAGTGAATAGAAGGTAACGATTTTGCCACATGGTTTGTTCTGTGTAACTGAAGGGCAATGAAGAGCCTACTTGGCACAAACACAAGTTAATCCATGAAAGGTCTTCTGCCACTCTCAAAACAATCTCTTTTTCTGGCCTTTTTCCAAAATTACTGGTAAGCGAATACTGAAAATGGGAAGCTGCTTGTGCTTATTGATTTTGTTCAAAGTCCCATGCTCATGTATTCCCCTGCTTCTCACTCTTTCCTCCTGATCAAGCACTTTTGGGTGACGATTTTACTCTTATTCCTGTTTTCCTAAATAGGGGGAGATCACAGGGCAGCAGGGTGTTCACGCACCTTTCTTCAAGTGCAGTAGCTAGGCTGGCACTGGACAGGGTGCAGCGGGTGACAGAGAACCCCATATGGGCCAGTTCCTAAGTCTCCTGACGATTAGGGTCTGTCGGCCCAGCAGGGAGAAGGGCTTTTGAGAGATGAGCTACTGTCCCATCATCGGCTTGCTGAGTGGTTCCGAGCCATCCCTCCTCCCCATCACCCACCCATCTCCTGTGTCCCGCTCCATCATGCTCACCAGGAACGCCATGAGATGAACTAATGATGATGCTGACTTGTCCACATGAGCTGTCCCTTTTCAAGCTTGACCAAGTGTGTGTGGGTGTATGTATCTATGCACGATTGTGCAAAAGAGATTATTTGTATTGATTTTATTATTTAAATATATATACATATATATATATATTTTTGCAATAAAAGTTACATGCCATATGCAATTGTGCTTTGTCAGAATTCCCATTCTTCCCAGAGAAGGCTTTTGAATAATTCAAGAATCAGAATCCCGGCCTGGATCATTTTTGGCTTGGCATCTTCCCCTCTCTCCTGAGTTAAGGCAGCAGCAGCATTTCCTTCCTTTCCTCCTGACTGGGCCCTCCACTCCCACGCTTCTGCTCCCAGCTTTTTGCACATCTCTGGAGGTGTTGGAGCTCTCTGGCTTATCTTGCTTTTCCATGTGGACACCTTTTCCCTACAGGGTGGAAGAGCTTTGTTTGTAGTCCCTCAGAATGACAGAGGCGTAAGTGACGTTGGGAGGGGTGCACAGCACCGACTCGGACACGGGGGAGCTGGGCACCGAGCTGCCCGAGGCCACCGAGTCTCGGAAAGGCGACGGGGGCGTCAGGGCAGGCGACTCCTCCTTGCTGGCGGCCGGCAGCTCCTCCTCTTCCTCCTCCAGTTCGTCTTCCTCAGTGTTCCCTTCCCGCTCATACACGTACTCCTGGAGGAGCTTAAACCTCTCGCTGTCGTCCTCGTCGTCTTCGGGCGGGGACACAGGCTCCTCCCTGAAGGTGCTCAGTTGCAGCGGCAGCATCTGCAGGTGCTGCGGAGGTGGCGGGGGCGGGTACAGGGACCGCAGCCCGTTCCCCGGGCCGCCAGGGCCCGCCAGCACCGCGTGGAAATCTGGGATCCCGGTGCTGAAGTTGCCGAGCACGCCCTGGAGCTGGTCCATCAGGGATTTCTGCTGTGGCGGCGGCTGCTGCTGCGGCTGCTGCTGCTGCTGCTGCTGCTGGAGGGGAGAGGGCAAGCCCTTGGGGATGACCGGGGGGTCGGCCAGGAACAGGGGGGTCTCCTCTGCGGTCAGCTGGGGCGGCAGAGGCGGGGTGGTCACCGCGGTGGGCACGCGCCTGTGCACCACCATGGGAGGGCTGCTGGGAGGGCTGAAGCGAACCGGCTGGGCGTCGTCCTCCTCCTCCACGTTGTAAAGGGTCTTGGTGCTGGTATCTGAAAAGGTCAGGCTCTTGCCTGAGCCTTGGTAACTTTTAGTGAGGGGTTTGATGACGGCCGTTTGGTTGCAGGCCGTCTCACTGGTCTTCACGTGCACAGAGAGGCGGTGCCACATATGCTGTCCCTTGGGCACCTGTCTTCCACCTGGTTCAGACCATGACACAGACTTGCCATTAGAACTATAAATAAAATAGAGATGGATTTATTTGCAGATAGATCATGCAAACAGGATCATATACATACATATAAATCCTACGCAAACCAACTCAGTGCCATGTACCTGCCCCCTCTCCTGTGGACCTTTCCTCTGCACCCCCAACCTCCCCTTATTAGAAATCAAACACCTAAAGCTGCAGTTACCACAGGCTGCCTTTGAAACGGCAACAGGTGAGTCCATCCCAAGCCAAGGAAGGAAATATTAATCCCTGAAAAACGTTACTGGGAAGAAAAGCCAGTCTGTGGCACAAACAGCTATTTTCTAAGGCAATGATGAAATTGTTGCTCAATGCAAGCTTCCAAGAGATCACCAAACTGATGGAAGAAAAAAAAAATTAAGAAAAAATCTTAGTTACACATGGATAACAGAACATAGTGATTATAGTCCCCAGGACAAATTAAGAGCCACAAATAAAGCTACTTTCATTGTCCTGTGGGATTATTAAATAGATCCTCTCAGTTGCCCATTCTCGTGTTTCCCATTACCACAGTGGGATGATCATACACATGGCACCTGCATGGAAGAGAACAAAAACAGATGACAGGAAAACCCACATCTACGATTGACTTAAGTGTCTCATAACTTCGGATTCCCGACACATACCATGTACCACAATTCACATAAAGACCCAGATTCACAGCAGCTATTCTGGGGTTTTCACATTGGGAACCTTTGACTAGGTTTGTTTGAGAAGACATAGAATGGAGAAGCCCAGCAAAACACAAGTGCACATTTCCTGCCTTAGTCCTCAGGCATAGTGTGATGCAAATAAGGAAAAATTAAGATTCAGGCAAAGCAGCAGTTACTGAGACAAAGACTCCTGCCTGGCTCTTTCCTCACTGAACAAGCCATAGTGAAGAAAAATCTTAGGGCACAGGCAGTCTTCCAGTCTTATCGCCAAGGAAGGAAATATTAATCCCTGAAAAATGTTACTGGGAAGAAAAGCCAGTCTGTTGCACAAACAGCTATTTTCTAAGGCAATGATGAAATTGTTGCTCAATGCAAGCTTCCAAGAGATCACCAAACTGATGGAAGAAAAAAAAAATTAAGAAAAAATCTTAGTTACACATGGATAACAGAACATAGTGATTATAGTCCCCAGGACAAATTAAGAGCCACAAATAAAGCTACTTTCATTGTCCTGTGGGATTATTAAATAGATCCTCTCAGTTGCCCATTNTTTGAAACGGCAACAGGTGAGTCCATCCCAAGCCAAGGAAGGAAATATTAATCCCTGAAAAACGTTACTGGGAAGAAAAGCCAGTCTGTGGCACAAACAGCTATTTTCTAAGGCAATGATGAAATTGTTGCTCAATGCAAGCTTCCAAGAGATCACCAAACTGATGGAAGAAAAAAAAAATTAAGAAAAAATCTTAGTTACACATGGATAACAGAACATAGTGATTATAGTCCCCAGGACAAATTAAGAGCCCCAAATAAAGCTACTTTCATTGTCCTGTGGGATTATTAAATAGATCCTCTCAGTTGCCCATTCTCGTGTTTCCCATTACCACAGTGGGATGATCATACACATGGCACCTGCATGGAAGAGAACAAAAACAGATGACAGGAAAACCCACATCTACGATTGACTTAAGTGTCTCATAACTTCGGATTCCCGACACATACCATGTACCACAATTCACATAAAGACCCAGATTCACAGCAGCTATTCTGGGGTTTTCACATTGGGAACCTTTGACTAGGTTTGTTTGAGAAGACATAGAATGGAGAAGCCCAGCAAAACACAAGTGCACATTTCCTGCCTTAGTCCTCAGGCATAGTGTGATGCAAATAAGGAAAAATTAAGATTCAGGCAAAGCAGCAGTTACTGAGACAAAGACTCCTGCCTGGCTCTTTCCTCACTGAACAAGCCATAGTGAAGAAAAATCTTAGGGCACAGGCAGTCTTCCAGTCTTATCAACTTTTATCTTCATGGGACACTCATAAAACCAGCCAAATAAAATTTTTCTCTGAAGAAGAAATAAATGAAATGAGATGTACTATGTGCATACACCACAAATTCTGTCCTGTATGTTGTAATGAGTCTGGTCTTACTTTTGGACTCTTAGCTTATTTTCTGTAAAACTTTTAGCAGATGGTGGTACCTTACCATAACATTCTATTAATAACAGCAATATTAATACTTAAATCAGGAAATAATTTATTTTTCTATTTTTTAAAAGAGTTTGTTTTTTTCTCTTTTCCCATTAATGCAACAGAGAAAGTAGCACACTAATAACACATTTGTGCCATTAGAAGGAATAGGAAAATGAACATTTTTTTCTTAGGTGGAGATGTGAAACAGACTATTCCACACCATAGTCTTCTGTTCAGAAAAAAAATGAACGAAATGATCAATAGTTAACAATGTTTTTTTAATCATTTTGAAAATAGAAGAGTGAATACTTTAAAAATTATGTGTGTCACATTTATGAGGGTGATATTTGACATAATGTTTTATAATTCTGAGAAGTGAAGTGAGCCAAATAAGTACAGATTAGTATAGAAAGTCTGATACTGAGTATGGAAATTCTGGATACAAAGGCTCTAAAATAGATATAACAGCTAAAATTTGACTTCATTACTTGGGAAAAAAATGTGTTTCCTCCATCTATCTGATAATCTATGCTGTATTTTTAATTGTCTAGGAAAAAATCTCATCTTTGAACTATTATACCAAAATTAATATTTCTCTCAAATATATGCTTAATACATTATCTGAGCATGTATAAGTGCTTATAAAAGCTAAATTTTTGATTTATTGACATCCATGCTCTCTTGTTAGAATAACTGACCCTCTTCTGGGTAGAACAAATTCAAGAACAAGACGGTGGTGTCCCTGGCAAGAACAGGCAGTCAACCGGCCAGCCAAAGGCAACACCGGAATTCACACTTTCTCTTCTGAGTTTAAAGCTCTAGGTAAGCTCACCTCCCATTCATCTTTCTCAGTGGCTTCCGTCCACCACTCTGCACATACTATTCCTCACTTCTTGCATTCAATATGCCTCTTCCAGAAGAAATAAAACCTATTTGCTTCTTACCTTCCTTCAATATGCCTTGCTATGCCATCCAACCCAATGATTTTGATCACTTTCAATTGCGACGGAATAACTTTTTCCTTCGCCAAATGCTTACCTCTCAAGGTACATAAAGAAAATCTTTAAACTAAAATGCTATCGTGTGTCTTCATTTAGTTGTGTGTGTATGTGCTTTAAAAAACCACAGGTCCCTCAAGAACTAGTCTGTACCTAATTGAACCAGCAGGCTTAGATTCCCTAATAAAATATTGCCCCAGTATCCACATATACTGGTAAAAATGTGCCTTTGTATTCCTGGGAAACACTAAGGTACCTCACTCACTCGGCTGAGCTGTTTTCCTCATTGAGCAGGGATTCTATGCAGGCCTCTTTCTAAATGACACACTTCCATGTGTTAACAATGTTAGTAATCATCGTGCAGACAGATATAATCACAATTTATTTCTGTTTTAATCAAATCCAATGTTTATTCTGTGATGGGAGATTTTCACCATGGTTGTCAAAATTAGCAGCTTTCCTTCCCCTCAGAGTCTTGCCCTAGATTAGCTGTAAAGCACTGTTTGTTTAATTAGGAAACATCTAATGTCCCAGGGCATTTATCAAATTGAAAATATTAGACTAATCCTATTTTTTCAAGGACAAAATAAATTGCCTCCTAAAAAAGAGATGGAAGAAATACATCACCTCATAGAAATTGCAGCACAGAGTGTAAACTTTGGTCCTTCAGGACTAGTCATTTCTAACTTGTGGTTCACAGACAATCTCAATGGTTCATGAATCTACACGTGCATTAAGCATTGCCTTTAGACTGAATAAAGATTATGTCTTTGTAGACAGTGTGCTGCTATTTTTAAACATACGTAGATGCTGTTATGATAAGGTGTGTTGTTAGATACAAGTATAACTACTGAGAAGTTTTTTTTTTGTGCTCCATATTCAAATGGCCATTAACAAATGTACAATGACTATCATAGTTTCAGATGAAGGTTGGTTAATCATTTTGGTGTGAAAAGGGAGTATCCCATTTGAAAAGGTTGGAAACCCATTGCAGTGTTATTAAGAAGAAAAATATATATAAGAGATGGGACAACAAAAAGGAATAAATGCCTTATAAAAATGCAATATCACTGTAAAATAAGATCTATGTTTATCCCAGATACCTTTAATAGCTTCTGCTTCGGCCACCAGCTTCTTCCTTCTAGTGTTTAATTTTATTCAGTTTCCTAATCTTAGGAAAAGCAACCCTGTTTAGGAAATACTACATAATTGTCACAAGGCACCCACTCCTTCTGGCTTTAACTTGAAAAGACAGAACTCAGGCCTAAAACAATCTCATATTTGAAGACCGAATGCAGCAGCATTGGGGTATATATATTGGGTGGCTAAAGATATTTATTGATATTAAAGTTATTGGAGGAAATCACTGTTAAGCCTAGAGGAACTAGATATGTATAGGATAATGTACAGTTACAGGCAGGCCTGAGGCTGCAGCTACAGCTACAACAGGTTCAGGATTTTGCTTTGGTTTTTCTTTCATTAGATAAGTAGCACAATGCTTCCATACAGAAAACCCAATATTTACAGCACTTTAGAGAAGAGTTGGGAGTGGGTGGTATAAACATATTAGTTATATCTGTGGCATTCAGAGTGATCCTGTCTGTTTTATTTGTTTCAGTAAGTACTAGTTACATCTGCAGAGTATACTGTTCTTGCTCCAGACAGGTCTAAAATGGGAATAACAACGGGTGGGTGTTTGAGATCAGGAGGGAAGCATCCTGCACAAGCTGCCTGAAGGGGAAACTTACACAACACCTGTCTCCCTTATGTCCAATTCAAGTGTTTGCCACTAGGCTTAACAAATTCACAACAGATATAAGGACAGTATC